GCCACATCACTGGGTAGCATGGCAGATGGTAGACCGTCAATGGGTGGTATTGATTGGCTGGATTTGCCTCAGGGTAACAAGACTATGGGTCCTTAAAAACCCGCTTCATCTTATTTTCCTTTGTGCAGCTACGTACAGTTGTGGTTTTCTTTTCTCACTCACACAGCCCCCGGTATCTTTTCCTCTTTTTAAGCCTCCCCTGGTAATCAAAATAGAGAGGTTACCTTGAGATGAATACTCTTTAAATTATCACCAAGGCACAAAACTCGAGAATTTTTTATTTACTAGGCTGATTACATTTTAATGTTTGAAGAAAGTAACATTTTTTAATTAGTGCTTAAGACATATGGTGAGTGTACAAATTAGCTTATTTCATACAACCAGAATTTGATGAGAGCAACTCCTTCTCACTCCCCAATTAAAAATTGTCACTTGAAACTTAATATATGCGAGGAGGTTAAATGGTATTAGGTGATGCAGCCTTGACTTAAAGATGAAGGAGACAGTCCCTGTTGGGTGAGGCTAAATGTTGCTTGGATGGGCTGGAAAAATACTAGTATCAACATCCGTGTTTGCAAGAGGATGTGGAAGTTCCAAGGCTTTGATTTTGTTCAGCCAAGAAAACAAAATCCCAGGTATCTGTGTGCGTTCGTTTCTCTTTTGGATATGCTGGAACGTACAATGATGCTTGCATGCTCTGTAAGTAATAAAATCCTCCTTAAAATCAGGCCCTATAACAATATAAGTGATGAGATTTATTTTTGTTCAGGTGTTTCTTTATCTTTTCAGCCCCATCACCTGGGGCTTTCAACCTGGGACATTCTATTTGTTCCTGGCAGAGGAGCAGATTAATTGGAATAGAAATGTACAAAGGAGACACCAAGTTAGCTATACATCCAAAATAGTTCACCACAGAAATGTTCCACTTCGAGGCTGATCTGAGAGGAAAAGAACAGCAGTGGGGAGAGATATGTGATCAGTTTGCTCTTGTGGTTGTTTATAACTATTTGTGTAACTGTGTTTTTTGAAGAGATGCTTAGGATTTTTGTTGTGTGTTTTTTTTTGTTTTGTTTTCAGTGTCTTTGCTTTGAAGCTTTTGGTTATTTCCCATCATGAAAGACCATATCAAATAAACCTAATAGTTTATTCAGAAGAAAAGTTGCACCCTTAAACTCTTGTCTCCATCTTATATGTGCTTTGTCAATATGCATATTTTTGAATTGGGTTTTTATCACATGAGTCAATATTTTTCTCTTTTTGCTAAAGGAAAGTATTTCCATGGAGTGTTTGATTTTCCCCCTTGCTCTGCGTTGATTGGATTTTCCTTGTTCATCCTTTGCTGAATGAAACAAAGCTTGTGTGTGCCTCATTCTTCACAGTTCTTTTTAGAATTGGTGGGGTATTTTGTTTTGTTTTCTTACTATAAGTCTGGGGAAGGGATTTTATTAATTTATTTTGGCAAGATACAGAGAGAGAGACAAGACAAGGTGCCTATTAGAATGCTGGCATTTCTCATGTCACATCCTATACCCAAAAGCTATTCCAAAGGGAAAAAAAAAAATCACGATCTTTCAGGATGGTTCATTTGAATCCGTGCACTCTACCCACCTGGTGGTTATATAGTGAACTGTTACTTTAAAGAGTAGTTTAAACACCAGCCATGTTTGGGGCAGGCTGCTCTTGCAAAGAGAGCAGTACATATAACAGGAGTCTACTGTGTGTGAGATAAGGGGAAAATTCAGCTCACTGACTAGAGGTTTTAATGTGCGAACTCTAGGGAAATAATATATTGACTGTTCCGTGGTGCGCAAGAAAATTGAAGAACCCTTTGCAGACGGAGTGCTTTGCAAAGGATTCTATCTGTTTCTCTTAAAACAAAATCTGTGGCAAGATGTTTGAAATCAGCAGGACGCTTAATGCTGCTTTGTTAAATAATGAGGTAATATTTTGTCACTTTTTTCTGGGCAGCATCTGTTTGGGGTTTTTGTTTTGTTTTGTTTTTCCCCTTGCTTCATCCCCCCCTCCACCAACCCCCCCCCCCATGTTTCTAAAGGATTCTTTTTCTTTCTTTCTTTCTTTCTCTCTCTCTCTCTTTTTTATTTTTCTCATGGAAGTCAAGGAAATACAATTCACGCTTCCATTTCTGTTCCTTCCTTTTGGTGCTTTTGGAGAATTTGGTTGTCTTTTTTATTTGCAGTTTCAGCCGGCTGCTGTTTCCTAGCCCATTGTGCCATGTAAGGCTTCTCCACTGCGCGGAGTAGGTAGTTATTAACGCTGAATTGGCTTCTGGTACAGTCCATCTGGACTCAGTGTGGGAAAGCTGGCTGCCGGCGACTGATGCTGAGATATCTGCAACCTTTGGGATGTGTGCATGGTGGTGAGGGGCTGACTGATATGAGATTACCTCTTTTAAGGGAAATTGTTATTAATGAGTCAAGAAACTGCTCATTTATGGTAAGAGGGATGCAGCCCCACAGCTCTGGGATATCATTTTTAGGTTGCCTTAGCTGCTTGAGTGAGACAAGTTTCTTTCTGTGGTGGTGGAGGATTGTGGCGGAAAAAAAAAAATCATGCATGACTGGGAGACTCGCCTGCCTGATTCTTGAGATAATAAATTGAGAATCTGTTGCTTTGCAAATGTCACACCACTGATGTAGCGGTCAGCCCCTCACTCTGAAAGATGAATGGTACTATTGGAAATGCAATAATAAGGTTGACTTTTCCCAACAATAGGATTCTGCCTTTGTCTTTAGAGAAAAGGCCTCTGAGGACATTTGTGCATTTGTTTGAGGATTCTGTTAAAAGACTCCAGAGTGGAGGTTTTGAGAGAAGTGACCAATATACAAAGTGCATGGATATTTTAGCCTAGCAAAACCAACTAATTATTTATACTTGTAATGTAGAGTTCCTATTCCAGAAAAGTGGCCAGTCTCTTTTGGTACACCTCATGTTAATTTATGGGTCACTGAGTGTGCCCAGATTAGTATGGATAGGAGAAAAGGGTTTTAAGAAATTGCGACTTTTATAACCTGCAGAGAAATACAAAGTAAATATTTTGTTCCAAGTGAGCTGTTTTTATTTGTGTTTGTCAGCATGATGTTCGTATTTACTTTTCACAATATTTTGATGTCGGTGAAATCCCACTCAGAGTTTCTGTTGTTGATTTGGGCACCTGTACCTGCCCTGTGTATGTATGGTAAGCTCTTTAGAAGACTTAACCTATGAATCATCCTGAGTACACAGTTCATTAGATACGGTAGTGCTATTGTGACTTATTGGACTCTATACATTTGCTAAGGAAATTATTTTAAGTTTACTAAATTTAGTATTGTTCCACTTAAAGGGATTATATTTTAATATTTCCACTTTTCTCTTTCATGTAGTTTTATTTCGAATAGCTGAATTTATTCATATTCAAATCTAATACTTTATATAGTGTACCCTACACATATTGTTTTATGGTGTATCTGTATTTTTAAAAGTGTGTGTGTATATATGTGAGTGTGTGTATGTGTTCATGACACAGTAGCTTGTAGAGAATAGTTTCCATTTTTTAAAAATGTAAAAGTTATTTCTTTTTTAACAAATTTTTACAGACCCATTTATTCTTGGACTTTGAAGTCCAGAGTATAGCATGATTTTTGACCTGTATTTTCACTCTGCCCAGTCTCAACACACTGTCAACTCCAGCCAAAGATTATGTTGAATTTTGTCTTTAGTAATATTTGTTACCTCTGTGTATTTATTGAGGAACAAAATGATTGAGTTATGAATTAGATAAATAGGGATAAGTTAGTCTTTTGGATAGAAGTAGAGCACAAACTCCTCAGGTAAGCCACTTAAAAAAACCAAACCAGAACAAAATACTATACTGCCGGAGGCTTGGTAGAGTAGAGGTTATGAATTGTATAAGATAGACAAACTGTATACATCCCCACACACTTGCTAAATGTCTCTTTGCAAGTCTTTTAAGAGGCCACAGAAAAAGAAAAAAAAGACATCGTTTGAAGGAGAGAAGCAACATCACGTGTTCAGTTAAGCAAGATGAGCACTTGCACCAGTTATGAAATGAGATGGTTGTCAAATGCATGTTTCAACTTTCTCTATAGCGGTCAGGAAAGCAAAGAGAGGGTGCATTTGGATGGGTTTTTAAAAATTCAGATCATGCCTCTATCCAAGTTGAAAAATAAATTCATTTAAATAAATCATTCATCATTCTCTGTTTTGAAAAGCTCAGACAGAAGGCAGAAAGGTAGAGGCTGGCAGCTGCCCTCCCCCCCCCCCCCCCCCCCCCTTTTTTCTTTTTTTCTCTTTTTCATTTATTAGGAAAGAGTTTTCTGAAACAAACTTTTGTGAGCCTAGTTCACGGAGCAAGCACACTCTCCAACTTGCATTCCTTTGAAACACTGGCCATGTTAGTTGCACAAGGAGCATTGCTTACTGAAAATCAGCAGTGCCGGGAAATAAAGTTAAAATGTGGATGTATTAGCCCATTGAAGTGCTTTTGTTGTATCCTTAAGCCTAGAGGCAGATCATTAAATATGCATTTCGCTAGAAAGCAACTGTCGAGAAAGATAAGGTGGTAGAAAATATTCCATCCTAGAAAAGCCCTCTGTCCGAGGGGTGGGGTGGTGCAGCCCTCAGGACAGGGAGAGGGAGGACACTCCCACTGTGAAGGTTTACCAGCCGCCACTGACCTGCAGTTGTTACAGTACTTTTGAGCTGGGAGGAGGGAAAAGGTAAAAATACAAGTATGGCTGTTGTTGCTTCAGCCCAGCCTTAATTACCAGACACAAGAAGCAGTTCAGAAATCCGGTCTCTGTTGTTGTAGAGGTCACCAAATCATTAACATCGTCAATCTGGCAGTAGCTAATTTAAATAGCACCTGATGTTGCAACGCCTCCCTGCATTTCCCCAGCCAATCAGATCCTGCCTTCGGCTGACAGATGGTCCCATAAATGGATGTAAAAAGGGGAAGCTTCGAGCCAATTTCAGCAAGGCTCTGTTCAGTTGTTCTTATCTACATCCTAGAATCAGGGGTTTCAGCTCACTGCTCCTTTTCTTTCTTTCTTTTCTTTCTTTTTTTTTTGTTTTTTGTTTTTGTTTCTCTCCCCCACCCCCCTAAAATAATTGATTTACTTTACAATCATCCACATTGTGTTTTGTGGATCTTTAAAAATATAAAACAATAGTAGTCATCTAAAAAAATATTCTGAAACCTTTGCAAATTTTAAGAGAAGAGTCGAAGCCCTGCGAGACCCAATATTTGCCAATAAGAATGGTTATGGTAGGTATGACTAGATTTATAATCTGTGGTTTGTGCTGCTGGAGGGAAGAAAAGCATCTACACCTTGACCAAGAGTTTAGTTCTCTGCTGCTGTTTGATTCCTACATTTACTGTCTCTTTGTGTAGAGAGTGCGGGTAGGTCCTTTTATTGAGAAGCAGTGGGGAAATAGATTGTCATTTTTAACAGGTCATTGTCAGTTTTCCCTTCAACATAAAGGCATGGGTGGGGTGAAGGTGGGCTGAAATAACTGCTGGTTTGTTGAAAGAGGTTATATTACCTGAGACCAGAATGGCAAAAGAAGGGATTTCTCTTTGTAAAGGGAGAGGGGGTTTGTCTACGAGCCTGGGTTTTGTGGGGCAGGAGGTGGATGCAGCCGGGTTAGGAGTCTTTCCATTTCCGTGCTGGGAATTTAAACCTTGAGAGGCAGCAGCTCCTGGATACTGAACGTTGAGATGGGCAGTTGTATTTCAGGGGGCTGCGCAGTCAAAACAGCAAAGAGAGTGATTTATTTGGGCTTCAGTAAATGCTGCATCTTGTATTTCAAAGAGTTTCCTGTCATGACCTCATAAAAAAGAGGAGGCGGCTTGTATGTGTAGCGGTGCCTGGCGTGTTGAGTTGTTGCTTCCTTCTCTGGGCAGCAGCTCTGTAAGAAGGAATGTCAGCTTTTACATAACGTTTCTTTCCGCTTTTGACACACTGTGTGAGGGTCCATCTTCTTCTGATCACAGATGGAGTGGAATGGCTTGAAGATGGTAAGTGAAAAGAGGAAGGCAGTGTGGAGATTCCAGCCGATTGTGTGTGTGTGCGCGTATGTGTGTGTGTGTGTGTAAGGATGGAGAACTGTGCATCGTAAATCACTGTGCAGATCGTATGTGTGTGTGTGTGTGTGTCTGTGTGTGTGTACGCGCGCGTGCATTTATTAGTATTTCTCTTTTCCGAAAACCAGAATCCATCTCCAAGTGTGATGGCACTGCATGCACACCAGGCACTCACGCTGCCTCTTCCACAGAACACACATTTTAGCCAAGCGAGGTTGGTGTCTTTTTTGACAATCACAATGTCACGGCTGCTGTTGGCTGGCGGGTCCACTGCCTCTGTGAGCTTTCAATGGAATTGCACGACCGTTAAAGTTAAAGGCACATTTCTTTTTCAGTCTCTGGCTGGGAGTGATGGGGAAGGCTAGGAATGAGGGGTAGAGGAGGTGAGGTTCAGTACCAGCAGATGCATTGTGAAACAGGACTTTGGGATGTGGAAGGGGAAATGGAAAACCTTTCTGCCAAAGTAGTAAATCTATTTTTAGCATCTTTTTCTGAAGAGAAAAAAAAAAGGAAGAAGCAGCAGCAAGGAAACTCCTTGCGTGTCACTCCTCGCCTGATGTTGACCCTGAAGATATGGCACAAAATGGCAAGATCAGATGCCGCGAGTGCTCACTTTGACTTTGAATTTTTACCAGCAGTATCTTTCGTGTGGTTTCAAAACTGGGTGTGGGGAGAGGCTGTAAATTCATATCCATCTCACTTATTTCTCACTAGAAAAGCCTGGGGAGGACTTTTCGCTCTGCATAGATGTTATAACAAAGCTGTGGTCTTTTTCCCATTCTTAGAGGATTGCCTTTGTCTGGCTGCTTGTTTTGATGGGTGTAAAACAAATAAGATTAGACCGAGCAGCCCAACTGAAAGCGATAGCTGGGAGGAAAACCCAATGAAAGGTTGCCGGGGAAACGAACAGAGGAAAAGCCGAGTAGGGAGCAGGTGGCTATCATGAGAACACACTGCAAACAGTGTAAAAAGGGAGGGGGGCACAGGACCTTGATTATCTTTGCTGTTCTTTGTGGCCAGCCCAACTTTAATTATTCTTTATAAATAGGTGTTAATTACATTTCTAACTTTGGCTTACAGTGATTTTTAGAAATCTATTTTTAAGCATCTGTTCTGTCTCCCCTGTTTTTACTTCTTCTTCTTCTTCTTTTTTGTTTAAAAAACAGAGAGAGAAGGAGAGGGGGAAGGGAGGGTAGGGAATCTTGCTCACTCTCTCTCTCTTTCTCTTTCTCTCCTTTTCCCTGCTGTGAAACTGTACGTGCAAAAAATTGCAAGGAATCCTACAAGGCTATTTGAAAAATAATGTAAATTATATTGAATGAAGTTGACGGAAGCATAATAAACTCCCACAGCTGATAGGTTCTGAAAATGATTTCTTAAAAATTTCCAGCAAATATCCATCCATAGGTAGAATAGATTTACCCTAAACAATGATTTTGTGCTAGGTGATAGTGGTATTTTGACTAAATCAGATATTGATACTACAGTTCCAAGGAGTTCACTGTATCTCTCATTTTACTTTTAAAAATAATAAATGAAAAACTGTATTCTAGCCTTTTGCTGTGCCTCCCTCTCATATCTCCAGCCGCAGATCCATAAGCTGCCCTTGCAACCACTGCCTTCTGTCGGGCATTTGGTTGCGATTCTGATCTTGGCATAAACTGAGTGAAAAGCTGATTTTTTTTTCCCGTGTCTCTGAATGTCTGGGACCCATGTGTGCGCTGGTGACAGGCATCTCTCGCTTTTTCTTGAAGCGTGCTTTACTAGTAGTCTCTTTTTCTCATGATGGTGGGTACCAGAAGAACTGAAAGGTATAGTACTCAGGCGAATAGGATGTAACGTAAAAGCAACTGAAACCATGATCTGTCACGATTTCTTCCTCGTAGACAAACTTGATACAGGATCGGGTAGCTAATTTTAAGTCCAAAAAGGAGAGATTAAAAAATACTGAAATGTAGTAAAAGGTTAAGAAATGTAATTGGCTTTATTGGAAGTATTCTTAATTTTTTACTCTCTCCATTGCAAATCTCCGCACACTCCTCCGACCCCAATTCTTTATTCCTTGCCAATGCTTCTTTTTGTTATATCTTCTTAGTGGGAGATTTTTTATTAAAATTTGTTTTGACTCTTGGGGTAAACATAAATAAAAATATTTTTGTCATTTACTTGAACCTTGCTCTCATATTTTGAGTGTGTGAACATGTCGCTATTAAAAATAGAATTGTTTTTATTATCTCTAATACAGATTTTTTCTGAGAATTTTCCAGCATTTTTTAGTTAGGGTAAAGCAATGTCTATCGGCACTGTCCCCTAAGCTTGGGTTGTCAAAAAGACACGTGGTTCTACTGCTGACCTTTTCCACTTCTTTGTCTTAAAAATATTAATGCCTACTACCTGCATGTGGAGGTGCGCCTTGACTTCAATGAGTGTGCATTTATTGAGAAATGAAAATCTGATTGGAAATATTTCTGCAAAAAACACCTTTTCATCACAGTTTTAATGATCACAATGTCCATATATCTCATTGTAAAGAATAGCTAAGTCATTTAATATTTAAATTTTGAAAGGGTGAAATGAATATAGGTGGGGAAATAGCTGAAAAATTCCTTTGAGAATTATTGATTCACAAAGCAATTTTAATTAAAAAAACAACTAAAATAAAAAAACTAACAAACCTTAACCATTCATTTCTGATCTCAGTCCCATTCATTCCTAACTGCCATTCATTCAAGTCATCCTCCTGACCAAATATAGATGAGCTTGTTTTTGTTGGACAGTTTTCCAAAACCTTCAAACTTTTTTCTCTCCCTATAACACTTCTTTGGTCCTTTGAATATTCAAGGATTTTGTTATGAGAGGAAGGCCAGATTGTTGTGAGGTAATAACAATAGTATATTTTGTTAAAGAAAAAGAGAGAAAATGAGCTATGCATTTGCATTTTATTTCTAAATTCAGTCTTGTAATAGGGTTTGGGACATGTTAGACTTCAGATATTTTAAACTTAGCATTTCTATTGGGGGTAATCAATTTGAAATTTCAAATCTAGAAGTCATTGCATGAACATTGTGTTGTGTGTGTGTTTAATATTTCTGAAAGAATTTGAGGTAAATTAAGGGTTTTTTCTCAGTTAAGAGTTACTGTGAACAATGAAAGGGTTTCCTCCAGGCAAGTCCTTTTCTTTGGTTTTTATTTCTTCCCTTTGCACTATTTCCTTATTGTGGGTGTATTCTCTTCCTATATGGAGACTAAATGCTATTCCGCCCATAAGGAGATATGCTGCTTCAATTAGTCCTTTGCATCTTAATGCTTTATTTTAATTTTAAAAATTAAATAAATTATCTGTGTGTACCACCAGTAAGGAATGGTGGTCTTGATAGAGGTCATTGTGCATGGACAGAAGTACTTTGGCCTTGACAAATTTCTTCCTCGGGCCCAATGATCTGTGGCCACCAAGCACTTATTTATGTGCCTGGACACTTAATATGTACATTTGTTGGTGACATGGCCAGTGGATGCTAGACATGTGAGGGTGCGCTGGCAAATGCTGCAATGCAGTATTTTCCCCAATGTCATTGGGAATTTGGGGGGTATGAAGGGACATAAACATTCTCAGGCTTTTATCTTACTGTTTCCCAGTCGATGGGCCATATCATACAGAATTGGCCTATTCCCCTTTTGAAATCGGTCAACATTTTATTGCCACTATCCATTCTCCCATCCGTTTGAGAGACATGCGGAAAGTATACGTATGAGAGAGACACTGTGTGTGTATCAGCGTAAGCATGTATGTTTCTAGAATCCTGCACCTGTCTTAAGCTTTTTGTATTTGGTATAACCAAATGTGTATATACATACATGCAAGTATATGTACATCCAAAAATGGAAAGAAAACCTAAGTGGGCTGGCTCCCCTTATGAAGAGGCTTCTTCTCCTCACAAACTCTAAAAGCTATCTTATTAGAAAAAGGCAAAACTTCCTCAAAAAGATATATCCAGACCCCGTAGACGTCTATTGATAACCAAATATTTTTCTATTGTTGCCACTTGAAGACTATAAACGTTCAAATCTATAATCGTATTTGAGAGCTAGAAGCTGCCCTTTTAATCATGGGTTGGATTCGAATGAAAACGTATGAGTATATGGAAGGAGAGTTGTTTTTGCTTTGGAGCATTTGAACCTAA